GCAGCCTGTAAATAAAGCTAATGGTGGAATTGCTAATAAGCTCTATTTCCACCAAAAGGAATTTTTTTCCTAGGTATGAAGCTGAGGACATGAATTCCCCATGGCTGAACTTTTCCTACTACTTCCCTCTACAGCTGCAAGTATCCTTCAATATTAACTTTTTATCACATTAAACAAGTTATTCTTGAAATCAGACACCCAAGGTCAGATTGCCATCTGATTATTGATGCAGAATTGCTATTAAGGTGGGTTGCAATAAATGAACACTTTGTATCAGTGTCTCAAACTTCCAGTCTCAACTACTTCTACATCTTAGCAAAGATACTTGGTGTTAACTACTTACCCAAGGAATGCAAGCAACTGCCCTGTCATCACAACTCTCCCATATATTTTTGTCAGTTTTGGTTCTAGCAGGTAATTCTAACTTTTGGATATTCTATAGTAGTTGATTTCTGCAAAAGTTTGAATGATAAACTTTTATAAGTGAATATTTTTTTCATTATAAGCACACACACAAAGCTAATTAATATAATCTGAAGAAATCTATAAACACAGACAAATTAATTAAGTTTCATGATGTGATCTCTGTAACTTGCTCCCTTAAGTAGAAAATTAGCAATGGCATTAGCTGCAGTCACAGAATCCCAAGGAAAGAGGGCAACAGCAGACAACCCACCAGCATCTGCAGAGCTTTTTGATAAATAATGGGTGAACAGAACATTTATTATGGCAGAAAAGCTGAAATCTCTGGAGCAGTCTAGGGTAGTTTCAACATCAGAATTTTTATTCCTGAAGAGGATTACTTGTTTCTGATAAAAACTGTCAATGTAAAAACATAACATATACTGTAGTGGATTATATAAAAGATCTACTAACTGACTGAACAACAAAACACACAATAAAGAATGGCTAAACATAGCCATGGATAAGCAAAAAACAGTACTCTTATTTGTACTGGAAAGTCTTCAGTGCATGTGCCAGGTATTTCTTCATTTATGTGTTATTCCTTTCCTGGTTATTTGCTGTTGCTTCATTCCATAGCCAGACACATATATATTTTTTCCCAGAGACTATAAACTATTAGAAGTTGTGTAGAAAACTCGCACAGCAAAAGGAGAAATAAAAGTGCAAGGTTCAGTTATCTTGGAGCACAAAGGTTATGACAAACAGTCCCCACTTGATGCTCCCCCCCTTCCCACTTTCCTGCTTCAGCTATTTCCATTTGTTTGTCTCTCCGTTCTTCTTCCCATCACCTGAGGAAAGTGGATGATGGACATTTTTCCACTCCCATCCTGAAAAACTGCTGAGGAAATTGATCTTATCCTTTGAACAGATGAGTTTATGGACTCTAAGTAACCTAGATTCTCATCAGGTGAAAACAATATTTTAATATTGTAATAATTTCATTGAAAACAATATTTTAATACTTCTGACTTGTCATTAACCAATACATTACAAGCAAATTGCTTTTTGAAATTAAACTGCTTCAACCCACATTGCTGACATGAAAAGATTTGGAGGGGATAGGGGTCTAAAATACAATGAAATTCCAAGCAAAAAGAGCCAGGCAACCTCCTGAACACAGGAAGTGAAAGTGATACTAGCCATATAGAATCATCACAGGAACTCTGGCAAGGGTTGGAAGTGTATATATGCAATATAAAGTAAAACACAGAAGACAAAAATCCTGAACATTCCTGAAGTCCTCTTCAGAGCATTTCAGCAAAGAGCACAAAGCACATCTCCATCACATCTCCACACAGGAACAGTGCCTGGATGTTTCTGAATCAGCAAATCTAACCAAATTTTTTTTTCAGGGGTCAATTTTCCCATTGATGCAAGGAGGATTTACACATGCAAGTCCCATTAACATTAATAGGAGTTACCTACATAAATCCCCCTGCAATGATAGGAGAAAAGACCCCATCGTCTGCAAGGATCCAAGTTCTAATGATTACCTGTCAAATGGCCCTAAGCATCATCATCACCAGAAAAAGCAGACGTAGCAGCTTCATGGCTGAAAATACTTCCAAAGGAACAGTAACTAACTGCAGTCATACCGATAAGGTAACACAACAGCAGAAGGGAAAATGGCATAAAATCGACTTTTTGAATATTAAGAGTTAATCCAATTAACCGAGTTAAAAAGAGAGTACTCATTAAAAAAGGAATTCAAACATATCAAAGCACTCCTTAGAAAAAAAAAAAAAAAAAGGTGTGAATATTGTATGAGCTCCAAGGTGCTTGAAGGATAATACAGCTACTTGTTTAAAAATTCAATTAACCTTATCTTTCTTTAACTTGATTTATTAATAATCCTACAGATAAATTGCCAGTTTTTAAAAAGTCATGTTATCTTTTGAATACATCCTGCATGACAAGCCTTAAAAACTACTTCAAATAAGCCTAACCCTCACTTTGTGTGTTTAAATTATTTAAAGTCAGAACAAAAAGCAGTTCAATGCATGATTTCTGTAAAATACAACGATCAACAGTCTTACCTACTGCTATTGCAAGGGAGGTATTGGGTACTCAAGTACCATAGGAAAAATATTTTATGTTTCCATTCACCACAGGAATGAGACATGAAAGCAGTTTTTAAGCAATCAATGTAGTGTAAAGTCATAGCCTACAACTTGCAGATTATTCTGCCTTACCTAAAATCAAATTTGCAGAATTTCCAAGCTTTGCTTCACATGGACACGAAGCACTAAGATGCTACTTTATATCAACTTGCTAACTCACCTAAATGTAGTGTCACACAACTCCAGTCTTCTTACAGATGTCAACATGATGAAAGTAGACAACAGAATTATCAGGAAATCTCAGCTAACAAATGAACTGCTTTTCTTGTGCAATTGAAAGAAAACACAGGAAAATGCACTTGCAAGCAAACCTTTAATTTTCATCAAACCATTTCCTTGTAAACACAGAAGATGAAAAATTCAACTATGATCCCTACTACTGAAAGACAAACAGGAAGTAGATCCTCCACTCAGTTCTTTTACAGATTGGTAGCTGTTAAATACAATCACCACATACTCATGCTTTCCAATACACAAATTACAGCTAAATGAAGAGGCAGTCTGCTTATTACTACATACAAATAACTGCTCAGTCACAAGCATCCAGAGACAACTGTTGTTTAACACTGGAAACATTTCAAGCACATATTTGGGATTATACACACAAGGGTGCCTATCCAATAAACAAAGCATGTAAACACTAACCAACCCGTTTCTGAAATGCAAATTGGACAAAGCATTATGATGCAAGACAAAGTGAACTTAACCCTATCAGTTATGCTGTAAAAAAATAAATAAATTAACCTTTAGGGCATGAAGCCATTTTAAAGGCAGGCACGTGCACTGCTAACCTGGATGTGTCCAGTTCAGTCAGTGCTGAATATTCATTATTCAATAGTATGTTTTATTTATGTACACTATTTAAGCACTGCCAGAACTATACTCAAGTTCATGTAGAAGTTTAAACCCTAAATGATCAAAATTCACTGATTTCTATTTTAAGATGTACTACTGACCTAGTGGGTGTACATTTTAAGGTAAATCTTTAAGCAAATGTTAAGTATTTTTCATTATCTGAATATCTAATTTCCAGCATTGTTCAGAGGAAGTGCAAGTCAATCATGGTCATCTACAACAGCTCTCTCATTTTGTAATTTTTCATAAAAACTAGGCTTATAAATACTTCAATAAATTTTATTGTATAAATGCTTTATGATTTATCATTACAAAACAAGTAATTTACAGCTCTCACACTAATTTTAATCCTATTAACCAGGATCAGTACAAACCTTTGGAACTATCAGTTAAACCTTCTTCCCTTAACGATCACCTAAACTTCTCAGCCACCATACTTTAAAAAGGTAACTACTGGCTTATTAAAGGCCCAAACCCTGCAACAAATCCAGGAAAACTAACAAGTCTGCTCCATTTATGATTATAAATTTTATTGGGAAATCCAGATTGAGTTTATATTGTGCTATTTGCCTGACTACAGTAAATTAAGTCACTAGTGAAAACGTGTGATCTATGAGACCTTATTAAAATAAAACCAACTTGAATGTAAAGTAGCTTCACATGGGGAACATCTACTGGATTATATTTCTTTCTAAATTATGGCATCAGTTTCAAAATTATACAAGAGATTTTTCATTATACAAATTTGAAGCTTAAGGAGAGCAGATTCAGGTTGGACATGAGGAAAAACTTATTTCCTGTGAGGTTGGTCAGATTGCTGGCACAGGTTGCCCAGGGAGGTTGTGGCTGCCCCATCTCTAGAGATCTTCAAGACCAGGCTGGATGGGGCCTTAAGCAACCTTCTCTAGCAGGAGATGTCCCTGCCCATGCAGGGGGGTTGGAACAGGATGATCTTTAAGGTCCGTTCCAACCCAAACCATTCTATGATTCTATGAAGTTAAACATGACATTTATTACATATTCTAAAGCTGCTCCAGAACTGTCAATATTATTGCATTTAAGTTCCATTCATAAACCACCCTGAAGGACAGACTGTGAAGCTCACCTTCAACTGTTTAGCTAGCACAGATCCAATGACTTTTAGTAGAACTGTACGTTGCACCAGAGGATCCTCCTCTGACTGGCAGGCAAACTTGCACACTTTTTCTTTCAGTTAGTTTCACCTTGTTGCCTGTTTAAGAGATGGAGGATTCCTTCCAAGATGGAAAACGAGACCAAATTCCTTCAACAAATAATGAATTCTATTTTAGCATTTAAATTAAATTGCCTTTTCCTGTGTTTTTTGTTCAGCTACAATAGCTGGATCTGGAGACCTATGATTATTTAGAAATGTCTCAGCTATCAGTGAAACTAGATGAAGAAAGATTATTCAAGCTAAGGGGAAAGTAAGGCAATTGCAGATAATACAGCTAGGGGTTTCTAAACCTCTCTTTCTTACCCTTCCTTTCCTACATCTTAGTTTAGGTCACCCTCCTCTTCTACTAAGAAAACAGTGCTAATTCATTCTTCATTATCTTCTTTCTTAACAGCAGTACTATCTGCACTGCTGCTCTCCTCAGCAGAGGGTTCAGGTTTTGTCTCTGGTGAATTACTGGATCCAGACTCTTCTGGTGCAATCTCATCTTCATCATAAATAATATCTTCTGGATTTGGTGCTGCTGGACAAAAATCCTCAGTAGGAAACATTGCTTGGAAAATAGTCTCAGCCTATTCAGAAAAAAAAAAAAAAAGCATAAAATAAACTTTACCTTGAAATGTAATACCTTGCAGCAGTATTTTACAGATATTGAAGATTAACCTCTGTTCTTTCAAATCACTGGTGATTTAATACTTTGACAGTGCTGTAAACACATGGGAAATCCATTCCTCCTTGCAGTCCTCAAAAAAGAAAAAGCAATCCATCCTTTGACATTGTTCTACTAGGACAGGCACAGCTGAGGGCTTTTTAATAAATGCTGGTCATTCTACATTGCACTGAGAGCAACAAAGCTGATTTTTTGCAAGCAAAATGATCTTTTCCACTATAAAAACATCCTCAGCTGCAGTCAAGTGCAAAGCATGGGAAAAATCTTGACTCTTCCCAGCAAGAAGAACCCATTTCACATGAAAAGTAAAACCAGAACATTGTTAATATCTACAGGGGATTCTTTCTTAAATTTAAAAACTACTAAAAATTTTCCATTTCTGTTTTTCTGAACAGCTCATAGCTCAACTGAGAACTATTCTCATCCAAGAGAATCTGATAGTTGAAAATGAGAGCATATTAGTATATGACACATTTCTAATTTATAAAAAAAAAGTCTATACTGTCAATGTATTACGTGCACAAAGTGCCTCCCTGAAAAGCAATTTTTATTTAGATAAAAATACAGCTATCCTTAAAATACAGCTCAAGGATTTAATTGACAATGCCAATTAGTCTTTGTGCCATCAAGGTTTAGAAGGTAAGTACACAGAAAAAGTCAAGTTTTTTGACCATTGCAGAGAAAAGTGTTCTTGAGAACATCAGAGCAGTTGTTATTATAACACAGAAAATACCACTAAAAAATCTGGGAGAAAAAGAACCAAAATAACACAACTGTAGAGTTCTTGAGACAATTCATAAAAACAAAGGAGGCCAGAACACACAAGAATGCAAGGAACTTTCTTGACTAGTGTTAAACAGTCTTACATGCTCTTGTGCAAATAACCTATTTATAAGCTTATCTTAAAAAAAACCAAAACATTTATTTCCTGAATTAACAAGCACATCACATTTCCATAAAGGTCTTCTTTTCCAAGACAAATAGAGACAACTGATGCAGTTTCTAAAAGGGTAACTTGCCTGTTGATTTTGTCTATTTAGTAAACTATGCCCTAAAGATGACCTGTGATGAGAGCTCCCCCACAGGCCGGAAGACACTTAATCTTGAGGTTCCTGCTGCTACCAGACACTGCACTGAGCAAGCTGACAGTAGGGTCAGTTAATGCCAGCTGCAGAGGCTGATTGCATGATGTGGATTCCTGGACGAGAGGGAATTGTTTTCAGATTAATACATCATTGAGCATGGAGCAAACAGCTTTCTGTGATAAACTTCACTGCCCACCAGCAGTGGATTTGTATCACCAGCACGTGGATGGAGGACTCCATTATTAACTGCTTAAATGACCCTGTCTACTCTGAGTTCAATTTAATTTTTCATTCTGCTCCCTAAATTTCACTCTTCCAAACCCATTTACAACTGTTTAAAACTATTTGTATTAGCATATGAAAAAATATACAAAGAAATTACTACTTTCTACTTCAAAAACAAGGCTCTGTAATTTGAAAACCTTGCCTAGGAAGTCTAGGGCAAGGGGGTATAAACATCCCACAGAAAGTTTACAAAACAAAGTTCTCTAAGTCTTTCAAGTATTTCAAGTCTGCATTTGTCCTTGAAACATTAAAATTATACTTTAGTATAGTTAGTTATTAGTTTACCAAATACCCACTTTGTCAAAATATTATGGTGTTGAACATGGCAAAAAATTCTCAGTATGTTATGTAGGACATCATGACACTGGTTATTACTGAACACTTTAGTGGCATAGAGTGCTTTCAGGTCTACCCATTTTTAAGCTAAACATATCCAGCTGAAGTCATGCAGAATAACTAATAACAGTTTAATACTTACTCTAACTATTTAAGTTAGTATATAGTTCCTTCAATATTTAGTAATTAAGTTTTCAAGTGTCTATGTTTGAATTAAGCATTAAGACACAAGCATGTAAAGCACTTGGATACTCCAACTACTGTTTGAAGTTGAATAATTTATCCCAGCTGTGCACCTTGATAGCATGTAGACAAGCTCTGTACGTTTTCACAGCAACTTTCACAGAGAACACTACCAGACTAATAGTAGTTAGAAATATGACACACTTGCATAACTCTGAAATCCTTCCAGATAAAGAAAAAATGGAAAGAGGTTAAGGGACAAATACTGGCATGACAAATGTAATGCTTCCTCTTACGAACATGAAGATGCCTCACAAATCTTAAGAACTTCAGGGCACATCCTACTTTAGAACATGGTAATTCATGTCAGGTTGTAGCAGTGGAAAAATAGAAAACTGGAAGCTTGACCTGATCCATACATACAGAATGTGAAGGAATCAAAACTGGCACTTTACATTTCATTTAGCCTACCCTCAGGGCAAGTAAATGCAGACATCAAAATTAATTCAATGTATACTAGGAATTTAACATGAAATTTAAATAAAACAAGAAGGAAGTAATTTGTATACTGAGCTGTAGATGGATAATAGTTGTAAAAGTTGTGATGGCTTGCCATCTAAATAACATATCATCAACACAATAGAACAGGACGAGTTATAAAAGTTAGTAATTCTAATGGTGATGAACATATAAATAATGGGAAGTATCATTAAAACAGTAAATACAGAATTATGAGAGAAATTAGATTCACTTTCCCAACCTATCTCCAAGACTAACACACACAGTGGTTTTGTGGTTTTTTTAGTACTCTCATCCATGTGTTTCTAATTATGTCATGCTGGGAGATTTGCACCCCATTGGTAGGAAGAGGAATGTGATTTGAGGGTAGAAGGCACATACATGTATATCTTTCCCTCCTCCATTTGCCTAGAAGGTACCTGCATGCTAGATGGGAAGGGGGTATTCTAACTGTGAGTTCTGCTTTATCTTCAGCCTGTTCTTCACTTTGTTCTCACATACACTCCTCACTTTTCAGTTTCCTTTATGATTTTAGATTATAAACATATCCACACTAAAATATTATTCATTCTAACTATTTAGAACATGTTTTAAAAAAGAAAAAAGAAAAAAAGGACTAGCTTCTATCTACTCTAGGTTCCTGATTCTCCTCTGAGATCTGCTTGTCTAACATCTCACTGACGGTCAACACCTTTAACACAAGAGCACCTAGAATATCTGAACACAGCTTGATCTGCAGGGCCATTATTAATTTGGTAAGAAGAAGAGCCCTTAAGGTAAAACAATGTGAGAAAAGATGATTATCACAATTAAAAATAGCCTGGGTTTAGAATTATTTAAGCAGCTTTTAAATTGGATTGTTTTAAATAACAGTTTAAAAAAATCTCATTTAGAAAGAACTCATTTGCAATTTAAAACTGCTACCATAATATTTGTTGGTTTTGGTTTTTTTTCTCTTTCCTGTTCTTTATCCTCTTTGGAGGCAAATTACTGCCTTGCAAAGCAAAATGAAGGGTACTACTAGCCCTTAATTATACTATTCTGACCCTACAGTTCAGGCTATGCCAGCCTTTCCATTTTAAAATCCTATTTAAAGGAGTTTATGACTTAGTAATAAAAAAATCCCACAACTGGGTAGAAGATGCCATGCACTTTCTCTGAACATGGCCATTAAAAAAACAGCTTTAAAAATGACTAGTGCCAGTTAATCCTACAATGACATGAAAGTGTTCCCACATTAGCTCTGAAAGCACCCTGACACCACAGTGCCTGCAGTGAGAGATCTGCCTGGGAATTTATACCTTCCTTATCAAGGTGGATATCAGAGTGGAACAGCAAAGGAGAAGCATTCTTGGAGCTGTCTTTTGTTTAATGAGATGTTACCTATGGATCTGTGTGAACTTCTTGTCTTCTGCTCAGCCATAGTGGGGCAGACACAAGGTATGATACCAAGTTCTTGGTGAATTTCTAAGTACCTACCCTTGAAGATCTGGTCTTGGGTTTGCCCATTCCTAAAAGAGAAAGTGGCTATTTCACTGCTTCTCTTTTGTTTAGGGAGCTTTTGCTCTTCACCTCCAATTTCAAAGCACTAGTAGTTTTGTCTTAAATGGAGTACAGGTTTGGTAAGCCTACTGCTAGGCAACTTGCAAAGGGTTCTCAGTTCAGGATTCCAATTAGCAGGAACTAGATATGTAGACACCCAAACACTGAGAACTAAAAATCTGAACTGAATGTGATTTGGTGCCAAAAACGATCTCGAGGTGATGAGCAAAGTAAACTGACTCAGACAGCTTAGAGTACCAGATTAGTAATTATGCTGGGGTTTTTCCCAAATAGGTTCCACCTTTGAGACTGTGTCCTCCAGGAGTTATACTACGATGATGTTCCTTCCAACCTGAACTGTAGACAGGCTTTTCTGACCTTTGATTGGTACAGCTTTACTACTATACTCCTCTTTAAGCTCAGAGGCAAAAGACTACACGTTTTGGGGAGTTCCCATCTATTTTTCTGAATTATTTGTTCAGTTTTTCCTTTCCACAGCATAAGAGCAAGTAAACATTCTACCAAGATCATCACTGTCAGATACTGGTGCCTTCTACATTCCCTTTGCCTGTTCAGATTAACTATCTGCTACTCCTAATGCTACTGTATCAACTGACCTTTTCTCAAGTTTCCTTTACTCTCAATCCCACTGACATTCTCTCTGCTCATTAGGTAAGATTTTTGTGTGTCTAGCTGTAAAGCTTAATGGCTGTATTAATACTGATTACATAGCATAAAGGAGAATAATCCAGAAAAGAGTAGATCTTATTTGACATCCTCAGGTCTTAAAAGTTTTGCAAGCAAACACCCGATCTGCCCAACCTGTTTGACAGCACAGTCATTTCCTAAAGCAGAGTCTGGTCCAGAACAGACATAAACATTGGAGGGCAAGCCATCATATGCACTTCTGTCAATTCCTGAGGAATCTCTCATGTTGAAATACACTGCCCAGAGGACTCTAGGCTTCTCTGCTTCTTCATTTTCAGTCTCTGAAAAGAAAAAGAAAGTGTTGCCAGTAATCAATCTTCACATGTAATAAGGGAAAAATGTATTCTACCATACTAAAATTAAATTTATTAACATGGAATTACTGTCATAAAGTAATTTTGCTTCATTAACGAGGCACCTAATTTTAATTTCCATTATTTTCTGAAGTACTTTCGTTGTACTTTTTCTTTACAGCCACGTGCCTGTAAACTGTACTGATTCTATACACATTATGCCACATAAAAACCAATTATCACCTAAAAGCATGCTAGCAAGAAGACTGCTCTAAATTTAACACTTTTCCACATCATGTAATCTGGTTTACTCTAGATAAAACTCCATGAGGATAAGACTGTCTGAATGCATCCTCCACAGGTTGTGCCAACTTGAAGCTATTTCATCCCATATGCAAAGATATTTTTGATATTTTATCAGAAACTACAACTTGCTTGTTCATCATCTCTGTTTGTTTTTGGTTTTTTGGGGGTTTTTTTGCAGTTACTTTACACATTGATATAACCTCTCTACATACAGGCAGAAAAACCTCTGGGAAGATGAAGGTCACTTTTTAACAGTACAGAATGCAATGGAGGAATAGACAACATAGGTTCTTAGCTTAACAGACACTATTTGTTTGGCGTATTTGCTGCTCCCCTTTTGGTTTTTTACCTCCCCTGAAATAAATGGAGCTTGTAAAAGACCTTGTGAGATTTACTTATTTCCAAGGAAGAAACTTCTAGGTAACAATGGCATTCAAAACAGTATTTTAAAGCAGTTGAATTAGAAAAAATAGAGAGATAAATCTGTGCTATTCCTTCAGTATCTTTTTATAACTGTCAAATACTTTAAAAAAATAGGAGCTAACCATACTGAACAGTTTGAAATATAAATTAAATTCATCAGCCTGTGAAAGTCTGAGCCTTAATACAGGGCAAGATGCTCTTTAATATATTTAAAAGTTCACATTGCTCATAAAAGTTACTTCTTCCTCATTTAGGCAGGAAAATGAATGGAGTCCTCTTCTCCAGGTGACTTTGCCTCTTTGACCTGCCATGGCCCAGTGCTCACTTTATCTGGTGATTCATTTTCAATAACTCCAACAGTATTTGTTCTGACATTTTAATTAAAATACGACCACTACCTCATCCTGATGATAAAAAGGCTTATGTGTCAGTGAAAACTAGCTTTTCAGTGCCTCAGTGCACCTGAGGACCCCTATGATCACAGAGTTTCTACAGAAGAATTTCAGGCAGGTTCTAAACAATATATCATTTCAAAATTGGATCACTTTAAACATTAAGATTAATGCTAACCCCCCTGAATGATTAGAAGACACTAGACTGCAAGCTAATCTTTTCTTCACCAATTGAGTCTCTAGAACACATGGCACTGTCTTCAAAATTTAAGATATATGTTAAATATTAGAAGCTGGAAATTACTGGGCTTTAACAAATAAATATCAACACAAAAAGTATTTGCAGCTCTCCAATCTAATAAAGTTTTCTGTTTACAAACCCTAGTTATATTCTACATAGTTGTTTTGTAAACAATAATCTTCTAGTACAAACCTAGCAAAAAATTTACATCTCTGGGACATTAAAATAATTGCCTTTCCTATAAGCAAAAAAAGAAAGAAAATGCATATTTTTAAAATACTCTAGTTCCTATTAAAAGCATTTTGTTGCCTAACAGAAACAGTAAGATACTTGATTTTTCATTGAAAGGTAGAGGAAAAAAAATGGAAAAGAACACAGAAGAACAAAGTTGTAAAAAGTTGAACTCAGTCATTCATGAAATACTGCTCTTGGTTATAGAGTGCTGAGAGGAAATAATAGAAAGATTGGCCACATAAAGTACTGCATTTTTTTAAAAAACAGGAGAAAATTTTACCTGAACTCACAAAGTTACGTATGAAGCCTAACAGTAAATATTATAAGCAAACCCATTATAAATATTTTAAAATACATTCACAGCTTACTAACTTGTGCATATACGAACATTAACACTTCCACTGACAGCCAAGTATGGTTTTCTCATAGGAAAACTATGATTGATTGTATTTAAGTAAAAGCAGACCATATGCAAAACCACTTTGCCAGGGTTAGAACACAGCAATGTTTTCCACGTGCACACTACCCATTCTATGAGCATCTACCAAAAACAGGATTAAATTCAGGATCTTGGGATTAAATTTCAAAGATTTCTGTAGAACTAGTTCCAAGTATCTCAGGAACAATTTCTCTCTGGGCAACAATTGCTTTGTCAACAGCTACTTTCTTCTGGGACTGTGAAATTGTCCATCTCGAGGTCAAGGTTCATGAAACTAGCTGGTAGGGTTTCCTTTCATTTAGGCCCAAAGAGTCATTTTTGGAAATCTATCTTCCTGATAACATTGCAGTGTGAAAAATTTTATACTTCCACTGTTTAAAGCAGAATCCAGAGAATTTCAACTAAAAACAGCAAACAAGGAAGCACTCGAAGAAGACAACAGAAGGATGAGCAACGGTCTTAGAATAACAGGAGGCAAAAGAAAAATAAAAAGCTTATAGCACTGATGACATCTGGCAGATGGAGGAGAAAAGCAGATCACTAACTTGTGGGATTTTGAGATCTTTTGTTAGGCATACACAAGTGACAGAAATCACTAAAAACCAAGATAGTTTAAAAAAAACAAACCACAGTTTCACAAATACTTCATTTCACTATAGCACCTCTGAAAGAAATGCTGGGGAAATGTTCATATGGTTCCATGAAAAAGAAAGTGTGAAAATTCAAACAGACCTTAGACACTGATAGCCATTGCCCTTGTATACCAACGTTAAACCACAGCTGAAGAAGACTTGGAACATTAGAACATGAAATGCAAAAAAACCATCATATCTAATCAATCTCACTCTCAAAACAGACTCCTCCACCTTGAAAAGCTGATTTCTAATCAGCAGCTCACCATATGTTGGCTCTGATGACAGATTCAGATTTTCACTAACGGGTACTTTATTTTCAAGGGTAAATTATATTTCTGCAAAATTAGAAGTAATACTTATTTTTACCTTTTCCTGTATTTAGACTGAATAACTTCTGCACAACAGGCTCTAAATCTTCCCTAGCAGTTGCAGTTGAAGGACAGGTTAAATGGACTAAATCTGTTAAAAGAGAACACAAACTAATTACAATTACCAATACACAGATACATAGGTATCATTTACAATTTTTTAGAAGGCACAGCAGGCTTTTAGAAATCACTGCTCTTGATACAAATAAGTTCCTTTGATCCAGAGAGGTACTGTGTTATGGAATTACAGTGCATATACACCACAGAGAGAAATTTGTAATTATTTCTCTCTTCCATATATGTTGGTAGAATGGAAGCAGAACATCACTTTGTGAAAAGGTGTTTACTGATACCAGGAACAGCAGCAACAAAAATCTGGTCAACACATCATACTTGCATTCATGACCTCTAGAAACCCCAAGAATATTATCAGTGTTGACAGTCCAATAGTTAAAAAATGTACTAAACCCACAAACATCACTACTTTCATCAACACTCTCTCCTAAATGCTGAATTGGGACTGAGTGAGCATTTGGAAATTTAGCCACTCACAGTTTAAGTCTGGCTGTACAGGAGTAAGTAGGAAGTACTTCATCCACTGAAGTAAAAAGCTGGAGCAAGACTTCAGTTTATTTTATTATACTAAACAGTAAATAGATGCTGAAGTGAATAGATGCATGTTTGAAATTACAGCTCAAAAGGGCCAGGAATTAACAATTTCTCTCCAGCTGTACACAGTGAAGAACACCAGGAACACTCCTGTTTTGACAAACTAGAGAGACTTTGAAGATAAAATCTGCTGAATTATCAGAGAACTGTTTTGCAATGTAAATTATGACAGCACAATTCCTTGGTACAACATAACATACAAGCTCTACAACATTTTATTCATCCCCCTTTTATAGGATGAGAGAAAAAACAGTTTTATGTTTGGGTAAGGGTTATGTTTAGGCAAGGTGGGCCAGTAAGGATTTATGGTAATTTGTAAACCTGATTTCAAATACTTGATTTCCAGAGGTGCTCTGTACACATCAGAAAGCAATCAGAGTACAGCAAACCCATGCTGGAAAAAGATGGCATGAGAAGATTTTGGACCACAGGAACACATTTGTGGAACTGTATAATTAATCAGAATTCCCCTTATAGCATGGGCAAAGCAATGCCACTAAATCCCATTTTGTATTTGTGAAAATTCACAAGTCTGCTTGAATAATGCAGATTTGATATTTAGGTTTCTTGCTCATGTACTTGTTTTCCTGAAAATAAAGGTGCTAAACAGATTTCTCATGGAACATTCTATTCCTTTACCTTTTCCGTTTTGCAAACACTAAGTTGCTGACTCCTTAGAAAAGATAATCACTTGAAGCAGCTCTTGTCCTCTTTTCTGTCCCATTGGTCTCTATTCAGACACAGAGCCAGCATCTCTGCTGCCTTATCCCACCTGACTTTACATCCATTCATTCAGATCTTTAAAGCTTTTTATAAAACCACCTTAACAGACTCATTTGATACTGAATGGTTGCCTGGAAACTTACCAGCTGAGAAGTAAGTATCTGTCAAGAGAATCATGAAGGAGTTTAACAGATCTTTGTACAAAGAACTGATTAATTTCATAGCAATATATAGCCATGGCATTACTTTAAATCCAAAGGATTTTTTCTCTTTTCATTCTCAAGTCTGGCTATATTGGTGTCATTATTTACAAGTACATCATACACATCTTGAATTAACTTCCTGGCCACAATAATGCCACAGCAAGTTTGACTTTGACTCCAGGAGGACTAGAAAATTAACTCTTCAGCCTTCTCTTCCTTCAAATTGCACACACAGGGATTATATTCAAACATTAATACTATTTTTTTTAATTTAAGCACAACAAAACCTTCTGTCTAAAAGGAATGCATACTAAAAAAGTAAATTAAAACAGAAGACTTTCATTATCACCACCCTGTAACCTTAACTAAATGTTTACAACCCCAAACATAATACAATCTATTCTTTCCTCAAAAACAATAACCCAGCTATAAGTCACTAAAGTTCACATAATTTACTTTCTGTAAAATCATCTTTATTATCTTTAAGGTTATGGCTATGAGTCACAGTAATCAGTATATATTTTGATTATATTTGATTTACTCGGGTATAACTGCATTAGTTACAGTGGTTGCCAACATTTGTCTTCAAGTAATTCTGCTAGTAGGAAGAACGATGAGTTTAGTCCATGATTTCATCATTACAGTCTCAATTTTTAGGGCAAGTGAAGGAGTTTGGTTCCACTCAACTGGCAATACAGATGATGTGCCTGTCATTTATGCAGTGTGATCAAAGAGTAGATGTATTTGTATACTTATCTTAAATAATTGTTTGAAGGAGAAATCAATCAGGTTAAAATCCATTTACAGGTAATGATGTAAAAGTTTTTCAAAAATTATGAAATATGTCCCATAACTAGAACTCAGCTATATCTAAAACACCTCTGTTATTTCAATACATGAAGACAAATTTCATTAAGGAACTATTATTAACTAATAACAAACCACCAGGAAGTTTCATGTGTTTTAGAATTTTTTTTTTAATCTACTGCAGGAAAAATCTATTGTTGTGTAAGTGAAACTAAGTCTGTTAACCTGTTAATTATTCAGTATATGCTGATTAAGAAAAAAAGCAGAAACTGCAGCAGAAACAGGAACATATGCTCCAAAAGACTTTGTTATAAGTAATACTGAAATGTGCTTGATGCTTGTACTGAGAACCTATACTTATCAAAACAAAAACTTCTCACAGGGCCACAGAGTCCTATGGCATAAAGATTCTCCTTAATTTTAAAGGTGGTCTGAAAGGGAAAAAATACTTGCATCTATGTTAAGTAAGATCCCACCTTTTTGCTTACAGCTTTTTTCAGGGTCTTGGCCCTTTAATTACAGCGGTAAGAGAAATTCTTGGCAGAAAAATTGGAAAATAAAACATTTCTAGGTTAAAAAAAACCCAAAAGCTTAGTGTTTTGACTTGAGGACTGCAACATCTTAGCTAGGCACAGTGGAGAAGAAACAGCTTGCTAGAGCTCTCTAACTTTACCTACCACTCTACCTTCAGTTGCAAATCTTGCAAAATAATAAAAACGTAGAATTCTAAATAATTTTTTTAACTGCGAAAAAAATACAGGAATCTTAACAAAAAGCTTTGTTGTGCTATTTTATAATTACTGTCCAGTAATCAGAATATTGTCCCAGTACTAATAAGACTACAACTATCCAGCTTATTAGCCACGTAAGTGTTAAAAGGAGCATTTAATGCTTGATCTCTTTGGAAATAAAGAACAATGCATTTGATTACCACGAAAATCGTAACAAAATTGTAAATAAATAATGATCGCGTGTAAATTTACCAAAAAAAAACCCCCAAAGGCAATGAGAATCCTGTAGTGTGAATTCTAAGCCATATGAAACAGGACACAACTGCGACAGAATTAAGACAATGGACTATTGCTCTTGTCTGCTGATAGAAGTAACCCAGAACACTTTTCTCAGCTAGCAGCCAGGTCACTGTGCAACAGAGGAACGATATACACACATATTTGATATTTTGTTTTAGAGTAAAAGGAAAAAGTTAGTTAAGGTTACATAGACACAGTACTTACAGGTTTCCTTCATGCAGGTCATGGTTGAGGAACACAACTCAATGACACAAACTGCTGGTTTCCCAGGTTCCACTGGAGGCACCGTCAAAACAGAAACCTGTCAGGCAGGAGGAGCAACTCATGTTAAAGCAGAGGAAGATGAGGCAAGCAACACAATTTACACAGCTTTGTTTTCTGGTTTATTAGTAAAAAATTGTGCACTGGATCCTGCAGAATTTGAGGATGAAGGAGTTTTCTACCCCAGTCAGTAAGGCTGCCTTTGCTAGCAATGTCTGCAGTAGAAAGAAAACCTCCTACCATTGCCCTTCCCAGCAGGATGACACTTTAGAATCTCTGTCAAGTGACTGCAAAATCGTTTTTGAACACTGGACAGAGCACAGTTAGGAGAGAATGACTAGAGAACTTTTATGCAGGTCTGTTAGTAGCAAGATTGAGCAAGAACAGACTTCTCTGTCATGTATGTTCTTATTTTGTAGATCTCATTTAGCACTAAAGAGTACAGGAAGGGAACAGAAGAAACACTTAACTCATTAATATCCTTTAACATTAAGGTCTGCAAAGAATGACAAAGTAGAAACATTTAAAGGGTATAAAAGTGTACAATAAGAACTTTAAACAGTAAAAGGGAATGTTATAAAAAAAACCTTAAGAACTTTGTTCAAAGTTTAGACAAGATGATTAACCGCTAACAGAACACGAAATGTCCGTTTATTTCAAGGCAAGCAAAATGAACTACCTTAAAGACAGCAGTTGAGAAACTTAATTAACATTGTGCCAACCAAACAGGGAAACTCAAGCTAGCTTTACAGAGATTAATGATTTAATTATCATTAGAGAGAGCCAACTAAAAAGCTGGATTCAAGTAGAAACAAGAGCATTAATTCATTCCTACCAACAACTAAATACTAATACAAACAATTCAAAAAGAGGTAAGTGATACAAAATTATATTTACCTGCTGCTCTGAATCTGTGTTTAGGACAGACTGATCTGTAATGAGCACTGCTCTAGAGATCTCTCTGCAATTAAATAAAACAATTATGGCATTTCACAAAAACGTAAAATACAGCAGTTTGGATTCATAGTTTTGCCAACACCAGTACAAACAAAACACCATGGGCGAGCTATTTAAACATCTAGTCTTTATTAATATGATTGCTAGTGGGATATTTCACCTGTTGCTGATCAAGAACATTCATGTAGTATTTTCAATAACAGAACAGATTAATAAACTTGTCAGTGCCATTATAGAAAACAGCTTGAATACAATTGAAAAAGATTTCAAAAATATTCTGTTTGTTTGATCACGATGAGTAGCAGCATGTTACAGGGCATTTTCCTTTCCAAACAGCACAGGACACAGAGGAGATACACTAGGGTGGAATTAATGGAGTTTGTAAGCCCCATCGCCTGTAAATATTTTTGCACTGCACCTACTGCTACAATTTTGCTACTACTTCATCTGCAATATTTAGAAGAAAAAGCCAGAACACACTGAGTGCTTTTGTCAAGAACAACAAATAATAGAGAAAACACTGACTTTTAATACTCCTCAAAAATTTTAAGCAAGAACGGAAACAGGCACCTCCACCTTCACTTTTTAACAATTCCCTAATGCACTTTGTGCTATTGGATTTTCTAAAAGGAAAAGAGAGATATGATTTAGAGAACAACTTAAGAAAAGATAAATAGAAAGAGTATACAGTATGCAAAGGAAAAGAGAGATATGATTTAGAGAACAATTTAAGATAAATAGAAAGAGTATACAGTATGTTCTCAAGTATATGGAAAAAGAGAAAAACTATGCACAGAACTAAACTGTACTGCAAAGATAAAACAGGAGACACTAATCTCTTAATTTGCAGGGTATTTTATGCATTATTATTTATAGAAATGTACTAAGTTTACTGTTTTACTACAAACCTGTAACACACATTTGTGCAGATGCTCTCTGGAAGGTAACTATCTTCCACAATGAAGTACTTAGCACTTATTCTTTGTCCAAAATGATCCACAATAGCTTTGCATCTGTTAAAAAAAATATTAAAAAAACAGAAACATATCTAAGGTAACAAAATCATGCATATGCTTTCAAAATTGCGTTATATAGCACATAGTTTATATCTTTCTAATAAGTTAGCTACACATTTTTTTACTATGTGAACATGTAAAACAACTCAACTGAAAGTGATAACTAAATCTTAAAAGAGTTTTAAATTCTACTAGAATTTACAATTTTTTACATGCAATGCCATAATAGATAATGATCTCAAAACACTAATAAATGAGTCACTATATAAGGAAAACTAAATACAAGCTATTAACCCTGGCATATGCTTGTACAGGCAAATGGCACAGGTTACTTCATGATACATGGAAAAGTAACACTGTGAATCATTATGTAGGTGTTACCCTCTCGAGGTGTTATCAAAAGAAACAACAGGTTGCCAAAGAGATCCCCCACAGATTTAAATGTGTTCTATCATAGCCAAACATTATTTCTGCACATCGGTAAATACCTGACATACAAGTCAACAGCACTTCTATAACTTCAAGTTATTCATGAGCTTCTGTGGTCAAAACTATCTATAGAACTAGAGATGATGAGACCCAAACCTAAATAAATAATAGCAAAGAGTTGCTACCAGCTTTAGCAGACCAGTTGCTCCTGTAGTCTGAAACAAGATTTGGAAGAGGCTGCACACCACAGTTACTTAGAAACTTAAGAGGTCAATGACAAGCATGTTTTTATAACACAAACTTTTAATGTTGATTTCAGAGGAACCTGGAGACTACAAATATATACACATTTTCAAATTCAAGTCATACCTTGAAAACAATGATTAAAAGGAAAGTCTAATGATAGTCTAATAGCACATGCAGTCATCTTCATATAGTCTCAATCACATTCTACTCAATATGTTTCACTCACAACTTAAAACTCACAAGCTTTTGCTTCTTGTTAACCTAACTGATTTCATTCTTCAGCACTCATTTGAATACTGCAAATAAACAAGCAAGGCAAGCTGCTACAGTTCATTTCTAATTATAACCTTTCCTATTGTTTATCAAACTATTTCCCCTACCACCCCCCTAAACATTATCGAAGGGGAAAGGTTGATTAAATGTCATGTTGCATCACTCAAAGCCAGCAAAAACAGCTACACACTTTCTATTTTCCTGCTAAGTGTTGTTTCCTCTCCTTTGTTCAGGAACAGCTATCAGGTCATCTGTTTGATAAGAATTTAAACAGAAAAAGAGACAGCACTTTAAATTTCAGTCTCCACTTCACTTCAAAGGATGTTGCTGAGAAAATTTCTTTCAAGTACTGCTTCCAAATATGGAAAACACTTATGCACTGACATTATCAGGTCTCTGTCATCTGATATGTGTTGGGACAATGAATCATACAGAACCCTCCATTGACCTTCTTTCAATGTGTCTAGATAAAAGGATGAAAATTAGAATCCATCTCCTTGCAGTGCCACGAGTTATAAATGTACTTTATAGGGCTCATTATCCAAACTAATGGACTAAGGGCGACATCCTTGAAATGGACTTACCAGCACTGACAAAGCCAGTATGCAATATTTCAAGAAAGATATGTAAATTACTGTGTTTGCTCTATCTTTTTATTACAGATGTATAAATTTCCATTTATCACATCTTTTCCATTCTTGAGACTGAATTATGTAATTGAAAACATATGTGAAGTGTGATCAACATGAAATGCCTACCACTTTTATTAATGCAATCTGGGCAATTTAAAATACTTTAAGTTTTATTATATGTAACCAAGTAAGTGACCTACAATAAACATGGAGAAAATTAAAAATAAAAAATATTTTTTATACATACATTCAATGTGTTTTTCCCTCAACCTAAGCAATATGATGTGGTTTTTATTTTCTAGCAGAACATCAGAGTTCTATCAAGAACACGGGATGTTCTGTGTATGTGCTGAAACAGCAGATCTAATTTGAAACAATACCTAAAACCCAGTAATGTTCAAGACCTCAAAAACAGGTCTGTCTAAAAGTTTCAATCCTTTCCAACTGTCTTCCCTGAATCTTGTTTTTACAAACTATGATTTTGTGAAACTATGATTAAACATGATAAAAATAAGGGTATGGTTGAGGGTGAAATCTACTGCTCCCTGTATATACAGCTCTGGGCACTAAAAAAGGAAAAAGTTCTTATTTTTCTTCTATTGGAGGGAATGTTAGCCATGTCTAGAAAGTAGTTGCAATCAACTTTGGTGATATTTAGGGACTTCAGGTTAAACTCCAAACTATCAACAAAAAGTTTGAGAAGCAAATCAAGGCTGTAGCTACAAGTGTAAATTTTCTTTAAAAAAGAAGCATTATAGCAGTGAAAAAAACCCCTGCACTAAGATCTTGATGAAATTTGGAAGCTTAGGGAAGGTTCTTACAAAATAAGAATGAATACTGAAGTTAAGATTTCTACTGGTGGGAGTTCAACCTATTTGTAACCAAGGTAAGCTGCCTCTGAAACTACAGAGCCAGCTGCAGTGACAACGAGATATGAATTTGCCTATTGCCAATTACTATTAATGGTCTGTTGACTCAAAAGCCCAGCAACTCATAAATACCCTCATTAACAAGTTGATAGCTGGTTTATATTAGGGAAAACACTGAAGGCCAAAGTCAAGATGAAATTAGATCTGATGCAGGGAGGGAACACACATTAAGGAAAGAGAACATGAAGAAAGAAAAAAGGAAAGGAAATGGTGATAATCTTGGCAACAAACTGGACAGCTTGCTAAGGAAAACTCTAGGAAAAGACCCAGCAAGGATTGATTCAGCTTGTATTCAGGTGACAGAAAATAATGATAAAATAACATAACCAAATGAAAACATACCTGGGTCAGAGAAACTCAGCTGTTTGAGTGACATTTTGCTATGGTGAAGAAGATGTTTGAGCTTTTTAAAATATATTAAGGAAAAAAGAGAACATTATATGATCCTTCTTTCATTGCTGAGAACTTTTAAAATATATATTTTAACCTAGACTCCTTTGTTTTCATTATCTCAAAGAAGTCTGACACTTCTCTGCATATCTTTTTTTTGTTTACTTTTATTTTAAGGTATAAATGCTATTTGGTAAAATACCTTCTCTGAAACATTTGGAGACCCAAAAAGGGACAACAGAAGCAGGCAGGTGGCCCCAAGGAAAAGGGAGGTGACTAGACCTGAAAAAACAGATGTGTTGGGCTTCAGATAATGGCATGATTAAAAGACCAATCGTTTTGGAATAATGAAAGTCTGGTCAAGTCTCTTAAAAATATTTCAGTAATTCTGCACTCAAAAATCTATCCTTCAGTTTTAAGTGAAAATGGGCATACGAGAACCAGTAAAGCAGCCTAATAGCCACCAAAAGACACTTAAAACCTATCCGGAACCCCCAGGAACTTATTAGATCCAAAAATTAAAAGCAGGTTAAAGGAAAAGCAGCACTCTACCTCTTTCAGAATACATATAAACTTAACAAAGAAAACGTGAATGTCAAAGGTGTTCAGAACGTGCAAAGGAAGCAGGAAACCGAGGCAACGAGCACCTCTGACCAGTTAAGATCTCCAGAGAGCTGTGTTTTGAAGTTGCTAAAAACTGTAAGCTTTGTCCCTCTGAAAATGTAATTAAACCATTTAAACATGTTTGGAAAATTAAGTTGCTTACAGGTCAAATATTACTACTAAAATAAGCTACAGTTTATGAAAGGGGCATTTCCTTTGTGTATGAACGATGCACTTAAAACAACAACACATGATGAAATACTAATACATTTGCATCTCAAGTCTGAAACTATGCAATGAACTTCAGAATCTTAAAGAACTGACAGAAAGATACAGACTTGCACACAGAATGTCAGGGACACTACTTGTGTATGTCATGACAAATCTAGGTGGAAATACCATGCTCAAAGAATGAAATGTGCAGTGCAACTGGGTAGTAAACACATTACACTAATCATTTAAGCACTAATTTTCCTAATAAAAAGTTATTACCTATTTTACAGCTTAATTTTGAAATTTTTCTACAGAACATTTGAACTTTTCAACTACAAAAACTAAGTTGAAACCAGAGTTTTCAAGTGAGCCCAAGTCTGAAGTTGGCTGAATAACTGATAGAATGGAAGTAACAGTAACGATGACAATTTACAGAGGAGAGAAAAATGCCACTATGGAAAAAAGTCTGGGTTGATTTTTCCTAGCTCAACTTTAAACCTGCCCACAGGCTTGATATTGTTGTAGAAGAATTTATCCTAGGATAAGAGGGCAGCATAGTTTATGACAACAATCTACCTAAAAACTCATTAAAGTCTTTTCTCTTGGAGTGACATGCATTATCAGCAAAGATTAATCTGATGAGTCTTTAGGTGAGCTCCATTTTTAAAAATGCAATAACAGAGGGCTTTGTTGTCATCTGATGAAAATCAATTAGAGTAGGTAAGGCCACAAGGAAAACTAACATCACTCATCACCAGCCCCCCGGCAGCTGAAATGATTTGTCTTCCAAGCTTGGGTGATCAGGAGCTGTAGTAATATTGCAGGGAAATTAATTTAGTTTCTATATTCTAGACCCACTTCCCTTGTTCTGGAGGACCTATACACAAATTACTTTTAATCAAGGTTGATGTGTTATTAATACCAAGGAGGATCTTGGAAGAATCATTTTTTTTTAAACTGACTTCACACATTTTTCATCAGTATTTTGTATGTAAACAGCAGGTTACTTCTATTACCCTTACCGGCCAGACTCTTTGTCCACTACCAGGCACTGCACGGGATGGCGAAGACAATAGATCCCACCAAACACAGCACACATCCTAGAAACATAGTGGGGAAAAAAGAAAGGTTACTCCTCTCATGAGTAATTGTAATCACTCTGTGTGTTATAAGCAATGCACTGTGCGTGTCGTAGCTCGTTTTTAATGACACGACTGAATTTCTCAATCAGACAAACACCAATCAAAACAGTTTTTGTAAAGGATACGCTCTGAATTATTTTTTTTTGTATCAGCATTTATCTTAGTCCCCTAAATTAGCTTGAGAACTCATTTTCTATTACCATCCTCAGCCATTCAGGGTGGAAAAGCATCTATTTACTGAAGATGCAGAGAATATCTACTGACCACACTAGATTGCACATGGTATGGAACCAGAATGTAAGAGGACACAATAAATGCACCAAACTCCTACTAGAGTTCTATGTGTGAATTGGAAGTTATTTCTCTACTCTTGCAAAATTTACAGTGGGAACTTCATTAGCTATAAGCAGTTTAAATGTTGAGGGCATTGAGAAATGCCCCAACAGAATGAAAACTTCTTACGATCTGAAGATGACCTCTTAAAATAGTGATTCCTCCAGGTTCTGTTTATGTTATGATACAGTCATTTAAGATATTCTGTGCACGGACTGATGAGAAAAAAATTCCTAAATTAACATAGGAAGCAGCTTCACAGGTCAGTTTTTCAAAAGCTAAAGTATACTGAGCTATTTTGTAGTTTTCTATTTATTAACAAAACAAAGTACCTAGATAAAAGAAGATGACACTACCCAAACATTAAGCCAACATTGCAACTCATCTGTTTCTAAACTTGAAAGAGTCTCAGAATTTAAGGACACCAGGTTACGACATTTAAATATAAGGAACTCCATGTGATGTAAGTGCACTGCAAGATTTTATCACTAGCCAGGCTGTTTAATCACCTCCTTGAAGATATCTCTGACTGAAACTCTTCACCAGACCAATCTATCCTATGCACAATGTCTGAAAGTGCTCCTCTGGTAAAGCTGCACAGTAAAAATTAATTTGGTTTGGTGATAAACATGATCCCAGGTTATTCCCTGCAGCCTAACTTCCATCTGTCAAAAGCCAGGCTTAATCTCTGCGAATTACTCTTCTGTTGATTTGATGAGACACAAAGTCAATTAATTCACAAAAAATTAAAGTCTGGTTTCCTCAAGTGACGGCTACAATTGTTACTGGACCCAAATTAACATTGAAATAATTGTCACAACACTTGTTTTAAAATTCTTTTTGTTTCTAGCTCCTGAAAGTTTTTAATAAACGCCCACATTCTTCGAAATGCTGCCAAGCAAGTAAAAACCCACCAAAATCCTTTTTGCTATGTACTTTAAAAAAAACCTGTTTAAACTTTCCATGAGAGCACTACAAGGCTGACAAATTAACCATCTTACAGAAACAGGATATATGTTAGGGAGTCTCAAAGACAAAGCTTCATGATTAACTGTGAACTAAGATAAATTTCAGTCAGTTTATTGTTTACAGTGCATTATTTCAGGGGCATTCTTATTATAAGGAAAAATACAAAATACAGAGGATGAAGCTCTCTAGAACTTGGTGTAACAAAAGGAAAACCATCAAGAAAATATATTTTTTTTTCATATTAGGTTAAAAAGGAAATATTATTTGTCTTTAAAATTTCAAGTAAGGATGGAAATTACTTAGTGGAAAAACGTAAAGAAAAAAGATGTGGGAGATGTGTCTGATTCCTTACAATTTCATTTCAGGTTTGGACTGTTCACAATGTCTGATCTATCTTGGGAATCTTGAACGTAGTCTATTTATTTGCTTATTTAAGAATCTTCAGTGGTGCACTCAGATGAATCAGCTATCACTGACCTCTTCTCTGTATACTGAAGAGATAAAGTGAAGAAATAATTTGCATATTGACAAAATATGCATATCCTTTTCTCAGAAAGAACTGCTCTATCAGAGACAACTGTCAACAGCTATCAAGTGACATTTGACACTTTTAACTTTGTCCTACAACTTAAATACACCTGTGCTCTTCTTGTGATCCCTATTATTCAAAAGTGAATAGCCTCTTATGAGTAAATCATAAAACAGGCAGCAGCACATTCAGTGCAGTGAAACACTGTTCCATTCCACTGTGCTGAAGAAGGACAGAGGGAGTTGTCTGAGTTGCTGTTATTCAGCTCAGCTTTAGGACCCAGACATTTGATGTTCAGCAGATGAAAGCATAGAGCTGAAACTGGGAGGGCATAAAAATTAGAAAATACACCTGCTACTTCATTAACAGTCTGCTGAGATACTGCATTTAAAGTAACAATGTGTAATTCCATTTATCTTCTGGTAGAGTTTACCCTGTAATTTAACAGATGAGTGTGACCACATGTCTAGTACCTTTCTAAGCACTAACTAGGCATCCAACTGGCCACAGCAAACAATCAGTAAGAGAAAGGCAGGCTGATTTAGTGGAACATAGTTCTTCTGAATTTTCCTGCTTTACTAACAGCTCTCTCAGCTGCACTCCAGAATCACTTTGGTTGGAAAAGACCTTCAAGATCATTGAGTCCAACCATTACCCCTATTCCACCAAGTCCAGCACTAAGCTGTATTTCCAAGCACCGCATCTAGCTGACTTCTAAACACAAGGCAGCAGTCCACAGAAATGTCAGCAACACCACTTCCTACTGCCCAAATTAGGAGACCCAGCGCCCTAGAAATACCTCTTCTACCCATGGAAAAGCAGGGAGAATATACACCATCTGGAAACCCAACCTTGGCTGTCTGGAGAATGTGGAAGATGACACAAAGGTTAAACATCCACCGAAGAATTATTCAAGAGCCTCAAGCTATGGGCTTATTATCTCTAATGTTGCAATCAATGGCTTCTTGCCTGACAAAGCATGCATCAAGATCTCTCCAACCAACTCAGATTAATTTATTTCATATGTTGTATAAAAGAATAATGCTATTAACCTAACTAGAACTAAGATTCCTTTGTTAAAAACTATAAATTATATTTTTTCTTTGACTTCAACCACAGTCACGGGCTTTTTGATATATGCACTTTGTTTTTCTAGCCTGCTTTGAAAGAACTTTGCTGCTTGGCTGCACAAAAATGTGAATTACTTATTTTCAAGAGTAGCTTGCTAGCCAGCAGAGGAGGGCATGACCTGTTTTCATAGTAGGCCAGAGGAAAACTTCTTTTTAAATGAAAATGGAGAGGAATTTTGATTGTGTTGTGGTAAGCAATTACAAAGAGCCAAAACACCTATTAAAACAGCCCAGCATGAAAAATGACATGATTAGGAAGAACTTGCCAAAATTCTTTAAATATAGAAATTGAAATATTAAAGTAGAAGGCATCCCAATAATTTATGGCAAAGTAAGATAATTGTGTTAACATCACACTCATACAATAGGCTACTCGAGATGATTTGACTGTACTTTCAAGTACAAGGCAACTCTTTGATACCATTAACCCTAAATGACAGACATTTAAGCTGATATTACTCTAATTAACTGGCGACTGCCTGCACCAATATTTCAAGTTTTGTTGAAAGATAGCAACAACACTGTACTCAACTTCAACTTTGCCCTGCTGACATCAAATCATATTACTGCTAAATTAACAGTTGTGAAAATTTTTGGCCTGGTAGCCCTCCATCATACACAGCCTTTAAATGCCATTTCAGTTCCCATCAAGGCAGGAATCAGCAGTTGTAATTTTTAATACAGCTGTGAAACAATGGGACATATTAAAAGCTGAATTTTTGACAGCACATTGGCGATGATTTATGAGTTTGTATATAATTTGATTATTCTATTAATTTTACTGATTACTGATTCAGCTAATACAGTGAAGGTCACTTACAAAATAAATCTTCATTACATTTCACAGAAAGTAACTGCCTCCAACTAGTTGTTTTCTTTAATTAAACGCTAATGTAACAAGAGAGAAAATAGGCTTCAGGGTTGCTGCATCTGTTGCTACAAGAGGAGTTTACTGCTTTGATGTAATGCTCTCCGATATTAATTGAACAAAAATAGAGTGTCTCTCCATCTGACATCTTGATTTTTAACACAGATACACCATAAACACCTTGAATTAGAGACTTACCCTTAGTTCATTCTGAAACTACAGAAAGAATTAGAAAATCATACCACATAGTTTCACAAATACATGAAGTTATTTTTTTTCTGGTGTAAAGATTGTCTTCTACTTTTGAAAATGAATGGAATGGTTAATTAAAAAACTGAACACATTTTTTTCCAACTGCACAGTTTTCTATAGCAAAAACTATTTGCTTCCTTCCTTACAGATGAATACTGCAAGTACAGCACATTGAGCTTTGGAGAAAGATCAAAGAAAAACACACCAAATGCTCAATTAATTGTCCTCTTTCAATTTATTTTTTACAGACAAAGCAAGCTGTGACCTGGTTCTTACATTAAATTCTGTGTATCCTGACAGGTCCCTAAACTTTAGAATTTCTACAATATTGTTGTATGTTCTAAAAACATAAAAAAGTAGCATGCAGACAAATAAAATTAATAAAATGCCTACAGTAAAAAAAAATAAATTATATACATATTTGATTTTCTCAACACAGAGTTCCCATGAAAAAGTCAAGTCCCTGTATGTGCACCCATCTGGATACAGGAAAAAAACAAATACAAACAAACCAGCACTGAAGAAATAATGAATAATCAATGTCAACCAGAACTATCCTGATTTTGAGAGCTATTGGAAAAGTTAATGTGACCATAAAAAACCTCAGACAGCTCTGTTGATAAAAGTAAGGCCAAGTATAAGCTCTGTTTTCTGTTATTAAAGTGCCTGTAATTTAAGCACCTGCACTGTTGGCAAGCTTCATACCCATACAAGGGCTACATTACTCATGACTCTTGTAGAAGAGTTGTTTAGAGAGTCTTAGGAGTTGTGGAAAAGAAGCTTAGTTGTATCCATTAATGCATCCCTAATACAAATAAAGGAGAGACAGGATTATCTAATAATGCACTTGAAAGTCATCAACATGACAAAACTGTTC